TCATTCGTTCATTCATTCATTCATTCATTCATTCATTCAATCATTTGTTCGTTCATTCGTTCATTCGTTCATTCATTCATTCATTCATTCATTCAATCATTTGTTCGTTCATTCATTCATTCATTCATTCATTCATTCATTCGTTCATTTATTCAGATAAAGGGCCATTTCCCTCTGTTTGACCTCTAACCTTTCTAGATCAGGGTTCTGAACAGAACATGTTGTCCCTGAACACGGTCTGGTTTTCCCGCCTTTGATCCCAGACTGGGATTTCCTTCCCGTTTCCAAGGTGACAGCTGGATGCTGTCTGAAGCGCTGCTTAGCTTCAGGAACACAAAACCCAACAGCTGCAGATTTTATTGACCAAAGCTGTAAAATCATGAGGGTTCTGTTGAAATGCGATGAGTCGCTGACGGCTCAGATGGCGGAGGTCAGTTCTGCATGAATGATCAAAGAAGTATGTCTGAGGGCGTGAACCGAGCCGCTTTCTGAGCGACTCTGATCCCAGTTTAACCAGACTGCCTCCCTGCAGGTGCTCCATCCTGTCCAACGCCTCCATCAAGTGCGACACCGGAGTTTATACATCTCTGCAGGCGTGGAAGGACCACAAGCTGCACATTGACCATGAGGTGAGGCCTGCTGGCTGGCAGTGACGCCGACAGACCCAAATGATTCATCCCCCCCGTTAATTAGATCCAGCTGAATCTATCAGACACTAAAAGGTGTCAGATCACTGTTTTTTCTTTTTTTATTCAACTCATTGCTCCTCTGTTGCTGCAGCTTCACACATCATCTGTGCATCTCTTAGATAGATGACAGATGCAAACATTGGCAACATTGCTTATGCAAACTCTGCAACAGAAACCAAAACGCTGAGCTTTGTTTGCCTCGCAGAAAGTAGAACTGCAACAAATCCAGGAAGGGCTCACCTGTTAACTGTAGGCTAACATCGTACGCTGCACACTGAAGTCACACTGTTGGTCATTTTCTGAGTTGAAATAGTGAAAGATATAATACCATAAAATACGATAAGATACGATATAACTGAGGATGGTAAAGGAAGGCCGTCTGTGGTCAGGACCAGTCTGGGCCGATACCTGGAGAAACAGAACATCTGGTCTTTTGCAGATCGAGACTCTGCAGACCAGGATAAAGAACCTGAGAGAGGTCAGAGGTCACCTGAAGAAATCCCGCCCCCTAGAGTGTGACTGCAACAAGTATCTGTGAGTACGCATCCAGAAAGGAGCCACCAGCAGTAGGACTGCAACAATTAATCATTTAATCCATTAAATAATCGTCAACTGATGTAGTAATCAATTAATCGTTAACTGGATTATAAAAACAGGCCTTTAGCTGAAAGAGCGACACACTTAGAGCAGCAATTATACCAAGATTGCAAAAAATATGATGTAAACATTTTGCATCTCAGATAAAAATCTTTTTTCATTTGTCAACATTCTCTATCCAGACCTCCTGAAGCTGAAAAGGTTCAGTCTCACCTGGTTTCATCTGATCTTCTTTAACGAACCTTCGGCTGTCCGATCATTAATCGATTAGTGGAAGAAATAATCCACAGATTAATCGGTTTGCTAAATAATGGTTCGCTGCAGACCTGCCCTGCAGGAGGAGGTTCTGGGTTTAGGTCCAGTATTAGTCTGATCCCCCCACAGGGTGGTCTCCATGACAACAGGGTTGTTAGGATTAGTGTTGGGTTAACAGGATGGATAGAAGTCAGTCTAAAGGAAAGTGTGTGAGTGTAGCCATTTTTTATCAGCTTGTGGGGACACTTCTCCAGAATCTGCTCCTCTGGGAGAAGCAGCCAACTGGTTCCCACCAGGAAAGCTCCTCCTGGGGGGTGGGGGGTTAGGACTAGCTGGGAACTGAGGTGGTGTTTAGGGGGAGGTGTGTGTTGCTGATGTGTTACTGTATAGAAATGAATGGAAGTCAGTGCAGAGTCCCATTCAGCTTGTGTTCAGGTACAAGGCCAAGCTGAAGAAGAAGCTCCGCCTCAGAGGAGGTCTTCACCCCTTCAGGTAGGTCAGAGGTATCAGAGCAGGCTGATCCTGGCCAGGTTTCTCACCTGTAAACACCTGTACCTGTGCTGCAGGAAGGGCGGGGCCTGGAACAAGAAGATCTGGATCCAGAAGGAGCAGAAGAGGAGGAAGAAGATGAGGAAGATGATCAAGAGGATTAGAAACAACGACACGTGTTCGATGCCCGGACTCACCTGCTTCACCCACGACAACCAGCACTGGCACACCGCCCCCTTCTGGACATGTACGGGACACACACACACACACGTGTTACACTATTCTTGTGGGGACTTTTCTTTGACTTCCATTCATTTCTACAGTCTACAGTTGACCCCTGACCCTAAGCATTACAGGTCAGGGGTCACCTAACCCTAAGCTCCATGGACGGCCTGTAATGCTAATATTTAATAACTGACCCTGATAGTTCAGAACCCAGTTAATCCCAGTTCAACCAAACCAGTATAATGATCTATGTAACATTCTATTTATAGGATTTAAAGCTGGAGGCCTTTAATCAGACTCCAGTATCACTTATAATAAAACACTTTCTTTTATTAGAGGCCTGTAATCAGACTATAGAACACAATTCAATTCAATGAACCAACTTTGGAGATTTAGGAACAGATTTCTCTGTCAGGGTCAGATGAGGACAGGTGCAGCTGAAGGTTGGACATTTTCAGGATTTAACTGAAACTAAGTGGGAAAATATGGAATCTTTATTGCGCAGTAAATGCAGTAATAATCAGTCATCTGTAGTTATGTGGAACATTTTGTACACAATATCCTTTATTTTCTAAATTCTGGTGATTTTCAGAGAACTGAAGTAAAGAAGAAGGAGCCGTACAACGATGTTTATCAATTATTCTCTGCAGTTCAATAAAATAACCAAATAATAATTCATTACTGGATTATTGGAACTAATACAGGAACCATTACAATCAAATCCAAACTACACTGTGTCTGAATATTTGGTAATAGGCTGAGTATTAAAAATATTAACTCATTACCTTATTAGTTGTTTTTTTTATTGAGAAAACAGCTCAATAATTCAGACATTCTATAAAAACTCTCCATGACGCCAGGCAGCATTTCTCTGGATGCTTCCTTTAGGAAGGAGTGATGGAAACATATTTAATGGACGGATGGATGGTCCATAACTTTGACATCAAATGGTTTCTAAGTTTCTTCTCAACAGGTTCAGTTCGGCTGTTTGGAGAAATCCGTTTTACGTCACTGCTGGTCGAAGTTATCTACTTCTATATTCTATATTATCTTTCCAGGGAAGATAAGTTGATTTGTTTTGGAATTTGCATCATTAGTAAAAGTGGCCACAGATGCAGTGGCGGCTGGTGGAGTTTCCTCCAGGGGGCGCTATACATTAAAACCAATCAAACGTATACTAATTTATCACACCAGTATATTTATATGAATGCCAACAACAAAAAACATGATAAAAACACTTAAAAACAAAACATCATTTCATGTCCAGGTTTACTTCCTGTCCATAAATCTCTTCTGAGGCTGCGAAGGTTAATCTGGGTTTTGTCCAATATTGAGTCACAAACCTAAAAAAAAATCTACCAGTTTTTTTCTTTTTACCAGACAAGGTATTAGTCAGCTTTATATTTTTTATTATATAGAACTATTTTCTGAGAATGTGTTTATTTAAGAGCACCTATGCAAATAAACAAACATCTAGAAAAAGTAGAATATATTCTATTATTTTCCATGTGAATCCCAGATTGTTCGTTCTTCTTTTCCTTTTCCACAAAGTGCTTTAAATCAGTCCTAGCTGTCTTTATCCAGGCTGGATCAGATCCTGACCTTTGAGGCAGGGAAAGCAGGATAAAGCCTTAGCCTCGCTGCATGCAGTTAGCCTCGCTGCACGCAATTAGCCTCGCTGCATGCAGTTAGCCTCACTGCGTGCAGTTAGCCTCGCTGCATGCATTAGCCTCGCTGCATGCAGTTAGCCTCGCTGCATGCAGTTAGCCTCGCTGCACGCAGTTAGCCTCGCTGCACGCAGTTAGCCTAGCCTTGGAGCTAAACCAGGCCCTGGAAAAGGACTGCCATTTCTCTCTCTCTCTCTCTCCAATGCGGCTCTACCTTTCAGCGACTCGACCTCAACCTGCGAACACGTCCAGATTTCCACAGAGATACCAGCAGGTCATGTTTTAATTTAATGAACACGAGTCTTATTGCTGGAAAGTTTTTATTTACAAATATGGGTAAGATGAGATCCATCCCAGCGACCGTCCCATCACTGCATTCTTGCACCTCCTGGAGGAGAAATGGGCTCCTGCACGTGTTTGATAGGCGATCCCTTTGGAGCGGGTACAGGGTTGTCCATGAGCGGTTTGGTTTAAAGGTGAGAGGGCGGAAATCCTCCAGTATACCGTCAATGTTGGCTTCAGACCTTCAAACACAGGTTTCCACAGGAAGCCTGTCTCTGCAGCCTTTGACTGGTTCAGGACTTCATTAGTTCAGGTGTAGAAGACCAGGAAAGTCCCGCTTCATGTCCTCAGACAGCTTAGAACCAATCAGGGCTCTGCAGCTGCTGTTAGGAACCTCCTCTCCACCCTAGAGCTGCTCGGTTTCCATCATCACCGCGTTTAGCTTCATGTCGTTTGGTCTTTGTGTTTTCCTGAACTCTTCACCTGCCGTGTCTGTGAAAGAAATGACCACCAGGTGTCTCTGCTGGTGGTTAGCATGGGGGGGTCTGAGGACTGGCTGTGTTTGTGTTTCAGTGGGACCGTTCTGCGCCTGCACCAGCGCCAACAACAACACCTACTGGTGTCTGAGGACCATCAACGAGACACACAACTTCCTGTTTTGTGAGTTTGCCACTGGATTCCTGGAATACTTCGATCTAAACACCGACCCGTACCAGGTAACGCCATCTAACCTTCACATGTGGATGATGAACCGTGCAGCTCTGGTCTTCCTTTGAGGAACCTTTGAAACCCTCAGCAGCTCTCCATCATGGAGTGTCTGTCTCTGGATACTAAAGCTGCACTGGTTGTGTTATTTCCTGGAACCAGTACATTTACTGGGAACCCAAAGCAAGCTGAAGTTTCTCCCATGGTGTCTGCAGCTGATAAACGCCATCAGCTCGTTGGATCGGACCGTTCTCAATCAGCTGCACGTCCAGCTGATGGAGCTCAGAGGCTGCAAGGGTCACAAGCAGTGCAACCCTCGCACACGCTCCGTGGAGCTGGGTACGACACGCCCACAAACACACACCGTCACCATGGCAACGCTGCATGTCTGTTTACTGAGCGATCGGTTTGGAAACGTACTGCGAAACTTTATGAACTTTAGTTTGAGGATTTGTTGCTGTTTCCTGAAGAGGATTTAATTATTGTTTAAAAAAATTTAAAGGAAAAGTTCAGTCAGCAGGAAGAATCAATGGATCATTATTTATACCTAAAACTAAAACAATTGCGGTGATTTCATGAATTTAGCGTTAATCAGTAAAAAAACAA